TCTTTCAAGATGGCATCTACTATAAGATCTTACATACCTCCCTGAAGATCTCTCCAGGGAGGGTCACCAACCCCTAGCCTGGGATGGCCATATGACACAACTSAATTCTCAACTGGAAGCACAAAAGTTTCTTGATTCCATTTCAATAGCAATTGAGACTTCAGCACATTAAATAAGGAGGAGGAGATGCATTATGTGATGAGGTTTGGACCCAATATATGTTTTTTTTAAAAATGGTAGGATTGTGGCAGGAAACACGAGAAAACCTTGTAATGGATTAAACATTTCCCTGCAGTGCTCAAAACCCAAAGAGAAGAGCATTTTATCAGTGTGGTTAAAAGCCACACTAACAAAAACCCCAAACCAAACAAAATCAAAACAAAACCACCCAAAAAGCACAACAAAAGAGACTAAAAGCAGGAGTGAAACTAGCCAGGCTGTTCTCAGTAACCAACTTCAATCAAACAGAATAAATTAATGCAGAGCCTAAAATTATAAAGAATCAGTTCAGAGCTGTCTTTTTTATCTCAATACTGACATTTCAGGAAAGAAGAAAATCCTATAGGGGAGCTCAGAGTAAAGATCCAGGAGCCTCTGAAGAGCAGAGTAACACGGGAGATTCCCACACTTCTAAGCGGCTGCATCCCTAACTGTCAGCACACAGCAAAGTCAGGARTGGAAAAGTGGAGCAATGAAGATACAGCAGGCAACTGCTGGAAACAACACAGCTTTTGCAAAGATTGGCTACTGGTAACACATTAATGCTTTCGAAAAAAAAGCCTGGAATGTGTGGAATTCTCTGGGATGMCAGGGTGCAAAAAAGATCTCATTAGCTAGGGCTTTCAAAATCTGCTGCCYGGTTGTTGCCGATTATTCAGAAAGCAAGATGGCTTACATCATCAGTTTCTGTGAAGTACAATATTCCAYTTAAACTGCCAGATCTCTAGTCCTCTAGACGAGAAATCATCTTTCCAAACAACCACAGAGGCACTGAGTCCCAAGTCTACACACCAGTCCAGCACTTCTCCTACATTTCTGTATTACCAAGATAATCAAGCATCTAATAATAAAACTGGGCAGTAYCACACTGCTCAGTTCTCTTGCTGGCAACAAGGAAACTCTAAGCAACAGCCACACTGACAACAATCATGTTATTCCCACATGGTTCTGCTTTAGAAGCAGACCCTGGAGCTGCTGATGATGAAAAGCAGTAAAGTACCTGGAGTAGCAGAAGGGCAAAGTAGTTAGCTCAAGGAACTGAGGAGGAAAACATTTCTCACCCTTGTTTCTCTTCTCTGCCAATCAGAGGATGGGAAATGATTCATATTTGCGAGATGCTGGCTTAAAAGAGGCTTAAAAGAAAGATGAAAGGACAAGCAGCATCTGGGGAGGCAGAGGCGAGAGACCTTGAGTTTTTGAAGATGACCTGCTTGTGACTGCCCAGAATCAGTCCTTTATTGTGCCTAACAAGGCTTTCCAATCACGCTGAACAGTGACAAATACAAAGGGCAACACATAGGTAAATGCCTTTACCAGTAGCTTAGCAGAGGAGTTTAAGTATTTTTCTTAAAGCCAAGTATACACATACTCGCAAATCTTCACCATTGCAACAGCAACAGAGCTGAGAATGTTAAGTCCTCATGAAAATGACAGCAGTGATAAGCATTACAGGGAAAATGACAGTTTTAATTCATTTTAATTCTTTGTTAATATTCCCTGAATCGAACATAGATRTTTTAGTATAGTAATACATAATTTTCAATATAAAATACATTTTTCTGCCAAATGGTGTTATATGCTATTTTCAAGAGAACCCCTTTCCCGCTCCCCTTTCTTTGGTATCATCTCTGCAATTGCCAAGGAATGGCAATCTGGGCAAGGAATACCCCTCTAACCACTGGCTCCAATAGCTCTTGAGATGGCATTAGCCCATCATTTCTTTTTCCTCATGCAGTCTGTGCATTTGCAGGGGAATCTCAGAATCCAGCTGGCTTATGAGACATGGAGAAAAAGGCCTTCCACTGTCAGAGCTCAGTATCTAGGGCATGTCCAGTAGCATTATTTTCAAATCACTGTGCTGCACATGAAGTTGGAACACGAAGAACGTCTCACTGTGGCAAGATAGCCTAGTAGTTTTAAAATGAATACTTGAAAAATGTGTGKCTGGGCTGCACTGTCCTGGTGCTAACATCCCAGCACACAGTGTCTTGGTCAATGCACCAAGAAGCCTCCAAACTCATGATGTGCAATAAATTCAGTGTAGCCATTGAATGTCATGCCATGGGTGGGGTGGCTGTCACCAACTTGCTCCTTGTGGTTGTAAATCCAAACCTCCAGCCAGTTCTGAATTACTCTTAGATGTGTCATTTGGGCTGGACAGCCAAAAGACAGTCCTGAGGCCATCCCATTATTTCCATGTTTGCCACAGGAGACAGACGTCAGCATGCCTTGATGTGATGCTGGCTAGGTCCTGGGCAGATCTGTGACCATCTGCAACTGCTCTCTTGGTTTCAAGAAAACAACTGGGTGTAGTAACTTGAGCGTAATACTTGCAGGAGTGAATTATGTAGGCACTTCATGCATAAAACAAACATTAGCATAGTCTTGCTGAATGTAATAATGAAGGAGGAGGCRTCAGCCCAGAGAGGAGAAAGCACACTGTCATTATACACTCACTACAGGGAATATGGGCAGTTTAATCTGTCCCTTGGGARCAGCGAGCGGTCTGGAGGCCAAGGGGAGGTATTGCTCTGGGTGTGTACGGATTTTGGGGGAATGCGAGAAGGTGATGTGTAGAGCGGTGCTGTTCAGCTCCAGGTCTCAGATGAGATGTTCAGATGTAGCATTGTGTAAATGCAGCTCTGCTGATCCAGCAYTGGAGGAGGAACAAAAGCAGCCAGAGCAGGCAGAGAAGTTGACTGTTCATGTACGTTGGATTGGTATTGAGCCTTTCACCTTTAAGAAACGTGGTACGGCGCTGCATGGAGACARGTGATGAGGACAGGGAGATGTGCTTCGAGCAGCTGCACGGCTGCAGGCAAGACACACCTGCAGGAGGATGGGTGGTGGCAAAGCCCAGCACTGTGGAGCATCCCTTGGCTGACCAGACCTAGGGACACCTGCAGCTCCATCAGTGACACTGTGCTGTGTACAAGGGGAAGGAGGAACAGCTGGCAAACACAGGGAAGATCGTGACCAAAATTTTTTCCTCCTCTCTTAGAGAAGGAATTAAAAGGAAAGAGAACACACACAAAAAAAATTGGATTCTGCATTTATCATCACAGGGATAAAGCCAGACTCTCTAATTAAGTAGATGACATAACTGTGCTGTAATATCAAGATTTTGCTCTGTGATTTGCAAACAATCTGCACTTGCACAATCCAGAAAGAAAAAAGCTGTACAGATTAAAACAGCTAAGCTCTGCTCTCACTTACATTAGTATATACCCACAGTTACTCAGCTCAAAAGACCTACAGATGAGAATGTGATACGAGGAGTTTCATTTCCTCAGACAGTTCCCCCACTAGCTCAGCCAAGTCTGCTTCTCCCTGCAGTTTCCAATCACAGCCCAGCACTCTGCTCTGATTACACACTCATCCTGAAACCACAGAAAGCCTCCCTCGGTCTCATCTACGGTTGATGTATATTAATACATCACCAGCAAACTCACTCCACAGCTGCTGAGTACGTAGCTTAAATACCATTGAATACTTAAGGCTTGATTCTGTTAATCAGGACTGCTTCATTGATCCTAGGAGAGTTGCATGTATTCCATAAGGCTCCAAAGCRAAGGAAATTCAGAGCACATTTTTTTAAATGTCACATTCATTAAAAACACGTAGTAAAAGGCATGGTCCTGTTTACCCTGATGTAAACTCCCTCTGTGAAGGTACTCAGGATTAAGAGGGGTACAGAAGAAGGCAAAGACCGAGCCAAATTCTCCTCTCAAGCCACTGCTTTACCTAAGAGGTACTAAGAGGCCAGAACCAATACCAATCTCTGCTACTCCAGACTTCCAGTCCATAGCCCTATCTATCAAAAAGATTCATATGCACAAGTACTCGGGAAGCGTATGCACCAGTGAGAGTACGAAATCATTACAGTGCCGTGAACACGAGCCATATTCAGCAGAAATCAGCAGCTGTTAGGACTACWGAGCTTGTCACTTCTTTTATAGTTTGGGTGGAGAAGAAACAGGATTCAAGCACGGCTCATAACACAAGTCCCATATCGCCTTGATCTTTATCCTCCTCCGCCCCCCTCTCCCC